AACATTAGATACCTTTCCCCTCCCCTGAATAACTCATTTCATCTCCCCACTAACCTGTCCTGTAAATACCAACTCTCAATACTTCCCAACATATATCGTAAAATACTTACAATTATTCCAACAGAACTTCCCCTTCATCTCTGAACTACTCTTACTCTGGTGAATTATAACCTTCTAGAACAGAAAGTCTCTCAGGAAAATTCATATATTTATACTAATTACTTATTTTTTTTCAAAAGTCAAGGGTACAGGATAGATTCTGTTAGTGTTACAGGGTACAGGAGAAGTCATGAACAAATTTCATGTACTTGAGTTAAAGTAAATTGAATATTGAGTGATGTAATGAGAATAAAAGTAAGAAGAGTTGTGCATATATTTAAGAGACGATCTATGACACGCACACAGAAAATGAATTCAAACAACACTGAAGTTGTAAAAAAGTCATATCTTGTATTTTAAAAAGTCCTTGATTCCAACACAATAGTATGATATGTACAAAAATTGGTAAATAAGTACACAACAAGCCTGAAAATAAAAAATAAAAATAAGAAACCACTATGCATGGTGACAAATGCTTCTTATTTTCAACATGCTGGGGGCTAAGGCAGAACAATTGAGTGTTTATGGACAGCCTGTGCTAAAATAATAAAATTCTGTGGGAAAACAAAACCAAACAAACATAAGAGTAAAAAAGTTTGTATGTTACCAACTTAAAGAAAAAATAAAATAACAATTAAAATAACAACTCAGGGACACATAACATAGCAAACAGATTCTTAAGGGGAATAAGGGAATATTAAACTTGGCATATAACCAAGAAATCACACAGAAGAAAGTCAAGGTGGAAAAGTGCATAGAGGAGGAAGAATGCTAACAGTTCTCTGGACCAGGAGAGGGAATAAGAAGTCAGCAAGTCTTTTGATTTTTATCAATTTTTATCAATTTATCCCACCTAGGGATCCCTAAATTCAGTGGTAGGAAAAATAAACCAAAATAAAGAGAAAATAAGTGAAATGAGGCAAAGCCCTCAATCAAATCTCATGTTTTTAAAATATGTGGTTTCAACTAGAGAGAAAATAATGGTAACAACAATACCTAACTGCTAGCCAGCTACTGGAGGTTCACACATGCAATCCTAATAACTCAGGAGACAGAGATATGAGGACTGCAGTTCAAAGACAGCCAGAAGGTCAAACAGATCCCTTTACTCCAATTGAACAGCAAAAAACTGATGTTGTGATGCAAGTGGTAGAACTCCAGATTTGAACAAAGAAGTTAACTGAGGAAATGAGATCCTGAATTGAGCTCCAGTTCTAACATAAAGCACACACCAGCAAATAACTAGCATGTTGCTGGCAATAATAGGAAAGGTGCTACATTTAAATCTGTATTTCATAGCTAAAATATAAATAAATTCATATATAGTTTAAATGAAGTCATGAAAGTAGTTGAAGAAAACAGACATCAAAGTTTTCTAACTCTGGTGTCAGGGAGAAATCTAAAAGCAAAGCACAAAATTAAAAAGTAAGAAAACACCAATAAAATATTTGAAAAAATCATTTTTATATGTGTGGGGCACATGGGCAGCAACGTTGTTTACGTTAAAATCTGATTGGATATCACCATCAGGATTAGTGACCTCAGTGTGTGAACAGCTTGTGGACAGCAGGGAAAGTATAGAAAGCTTAGGCGCATGATAGGGTGACCTCTACAGTGATTGGTTAGTTCCTTTTCCTCCCCATTTATGCCGTGCAGTTTTTTGCTTTAAAAATGCTTGCTGTGTGATAGTAAGTTCCTGCTTGACTTGACTCCCTGCTACATCTGACTGTCTCTGAGGCTAAGGGAGGCTGGGGAATGGGCAAGTGGCCCACTTACCTTTCCTCGGACCCCGTCCGTCTTCCATGGGATGGACGAAGACCCAACAGATATGTTTATGTTTTATAAAAATTAATTTGCAATACATTTGATAGTTAATATCATAAACTTTTTAAAAGGTTTTAAAGCCTTTAGATACAAGTCTGCAGGCAACAAAATGAATACTACAGTTTTTTTTAGTTGTTTTTCAAAACTCACTAAAATGAAATCTTTCTATTCTACAGTGGTGGCTCACACTTTTAATCATAGCATCTCAGAATGCTGAGGATCTTAGTTCAAAGACAGCCCAAGCAAGACTGTCCTTCTAATTATACACCAAAAAGCTACAAGTAGAGGTATAGCTCAAGTTGTAGAGGACAATAAGCTACAAAGCACCAATAAGGCCCTGAGATTCCTCCCCAGTACTGGCACAAAAGACAAAATAAAACATATTTGCAATCAAATGAAATAAATTCATGTATTACTGAGAGTAATATAAATTGTCACAAATTTTCTAGAAGGCCCATTGAAAATATGTATAAAAAGCACTAAATGCACAAATGTTCTTTAATCAGTTGGCTTTTTACTCAGTGTAGCAACCAATAAAATTAAGGCAGCGTGGTAAGATAAAGTAATATTTATCTCAACTGAAAAGTACTATTATAAGATATCAAAAGTTGCCACCAGTATTTCTCATTCTCAGTTCTTGCTTCCTACCTCAACATATAAGATAAATAAACTAATATTATTAAATAACCAATATTATCTGCTGGTTAGCAAGAACTTATCCAGAGACTGAGGGAAAATAAACTCCTCCAACAGCTCACTCAAAAATTTCACTTCATCTTCTATCACACAGTACATCTATTCACTTTCAATTCACCTATTGCCTTTATAAATATAATCCCTTCCCTGCTTCTAGTGACTAAAAATCCAAATGGTCATCGTCTTCATAAACACCCTCACTAAAGATATAACACAATTACATCCTTGGACTCACATGACTTAACCAAAAGAAAACTTCAAGTGAAGAGGTAGCAAGACATTTGTGAATGGAATGTATAAATTAATCTATTCCATTACCATTTGCTCTATACCTGCTGCATGAAAGCAGGACACATTTTTCTAGAGCTAGGTTTAGAACTCAGAAATCAAGACTCAAGTTCAGGAATAAATATAACAAGCGCTTTGGAAAAACGAGGAGTGGAAGGGTATCAATTCGTTATCATCACAGTGATTGAGAATTGTATCCTCCCTTCCCTCCCTGAGTCTCACTGAAGATTATGTGAGCAGAGAATTTGTTCTTTGCAAAGAGCACAGAGTTCATTTTTGAGATTCCAGCCAGCAACATTTTCTGGATGATGATGGAGATAGGTAGCCTAGGTGCTACCTATCATCTGTACCTAGATACTGAATCCCCTTAGATAAAATCCTCTGTGTTTATTCAACATTTTCAATGCCATGCTAATTTCTTTTAGTGTTTCTTTGTTCATTTTTTTTGTTTTTGCTTGTAAAAATACAGAACAGAGGAGTTACAGTTACATGAATATGGTAAGGAATACATTTCATATCAAGCATTATTAGCTGCTATTTTTTAATATCTTAAATTTCTTAATTATTTTATTCGTGCCTTAAGCGGACTAGTATGGAAAAAATAACATTTTTCCACCATGAGCTCATATTTACTCTAAAAGATACCAAAACTGCTTATAATTGTATATATTTCTCCAGACTCATTTTTCTGCTATGGTTCCAGGGATTGTATGTCTTTATATGCCAATTAAATTTGGTATGCCAGACATGCAATAACTGACCTAGGGTATGAGGTTGCCATACTTCTATTTCTCACTGTATATGTATAAACATGGGTATGTTTATACAGAAGCCAATTTCTTTTGGTTCTAATTTATATGAATTGAACTTTTGTCCAATTTTGTCCAAGTTTTCAGGTGTCAAGTAATTTTTCTACTTTTAACACAGTGTGAATCACATGTCATACACTCAACTTTTATGCAGAAATTTTTGCCAACTGTTATGTGGTATATATACTAGATTCCATCCATGCAGGAACCATATGGCAAAGGTGCTTTCTATCTATGCTACATTTCATTTTGTTAGTCACTGAAGAGTTAGTGACTGCATTTTAGGTACAGGTTCAATAGTAACAGTGGGGCAATAACGATGCCTTAGATGATAAGACTATTAACATGTGATAGTTATACTGGAATAAATTTGTGTGCATATGACAACACAAGGCTGATAGCTCATCACAATTGTATCACAGCTTAGTGTTCAGACAAACATGAATGCTAGAGTTGTACAAAAAACTGCAGACGCTAATCTTACTGAATTCTGTTCAGGATGTGACACTGCTACTTGCTATTATAGCTACAGTAATCCAGAGGGCAGTGGATTTCAGTATGGCCAAAGATTACTTCACTTGTGAATCTAGTCATTTGGGCTGAAATCATTGACTATTTTTTGTTTTAATGCTCATTTTGATAATGCTGCTCCATAGCTATTTTCACCTCTTGGACCACCAAGACTTACTGTGAGTTAATCTATTTATATTGACAAGCACCATCTAAGGTACTATATTATTTTGTTTCTGATTATTTCTATTTATTCATTTACTTAAAAAGCTGCCAGAAAGAAAGTTTCCACTAAAGGAAAAAAGGGTGAAGACATATTTTTAAATTAAAAAATCCCATCAAAGCTCCTGAGTCTGTTTCCACCATCATCACTGCAGAATCAATGTTCTACAAGGGAGTATATTACCAAAATGGTGATGATGTTTCTGTGATTGATGATCAACATGGAAAGCTCTACTCTGCTCAGATCAGGGGTTTTATCTAGGACCAGTATTGAGAGAAGAGCGCAGCACTGACATAGCTCATTCCCACTCTCTCTAGCCCCACAGATCAGTTTGACCCTGTGTCTTATATCATATGGCCAGAGGAAGACCTTCCCAGGAAGATGGAATACTTGGAATTTGTTTGTCATGCACCGTCTGAGTATTTCAAGTCAAGGTCACCACCATTTCCCACTGTCTCCACCAGACCAGAAAAGGGCTATATATGGACTCATGTTGGACCTACTCCTGCAATAATGATTAGGAGACAGTTACCAATCACTTGTAGCTACAACTAAAACCGAGGCTGGGAAACTCAGTAATATATCCCTTACCCAGCATGCCTAAGACCCTGGGTTAAAAACAAAAAAACCCAAAAGTGGATTTTTCATATTCTTATATTTATACAAGTCTGAGGAAGATAACTTCGTCCACGAATTGCTTTATTTGGTCGCTTGTGGGGCTTGAACATGAGGCCTAGGTGCTGTCTCTGAGCTCTTTTTGCTCAAGGCTAGTGCTCTACCACTTTGAGCCACAGCTCCACTTCCAGTTTTCTAGTGGTTAATTGGAGATAAGAATCTCGTGGACTTTCTTCCCTGGCCTGGCTTTGAACCATGATCCTCAGCTGCTAAGTAGCTAGGATTACAGGGAGCCACCAGAGCTCAGCCCATAAAATTCTTATATGGGAAACTAAAAGGTGTGTTCCCAATGACCTAGTAATTGTTAACAAATTCTGGCAAGTCTCACTTGGGGCATATTCAGCTCAACCAGTCATGATGGAGGTTCTTTGATCAGGCAGGACCCCATTTCCCTATGTGGGGGTGGATATGATCTGCCCTTGGAACAATTTCCAGCAAGTCTCTCTCCATCTTCTATATCTTCTCTATGAGGAGCCCTGGTTGGCCCTTTCAAGCTAGCATCCCGTCTTTGTGTCTACCATTTCCAGGCAGACACTTCTTTGTCAGTACATGGGCTTGAACCTCACACTTGGCATTGTACCGCTTGATTCATGCCTCAATAAGTCATGGCTTAGAGAAAACAAAATGTATTTGAAGGTGAATGTTAGCTTTCTGTTAGTGTATCTTCCCAGGCAAAGGTTGCAATTTCTGAGAGACCATTAGGAGTAGGCACCATCTGTTTTTCTTCATAATTTACTTCCAGAAACTCAAAAAAGGGGTTATATTTTTATATAACTACAAAATATTCAGTTTTAGATTTCTGCTCAAAGGTTTAATCAAATAAGATGTTGCCTTGATCAACAATAAAAAAAAGTAGTGTGGGCTTCCTTTAATGATTATTTCTAATTCAGATTAAAATATGCCTGAAGAAAGTTTATTTGTAAAGCTGGAAATTCTGATAATTACTCTAATTCCCTTATAAATAAAATATTAAATCTTTCTATACATGTTCCTAATAATTAAACGTACCTTACTTGTATGTAAAGTTCTTTTGAAATTTCATTCTATACAATGTTTTCTATATATGAAATACATATTTTATATCTATTATACTATTCTATTATTGAATTAGATGTGTACACTTATTATGTTATGTTTTTTATGACTTTATTCTATTTAAATTTCAATTTTATCAGTAAGGTTTTGTCTTCCTCACATCCTTACTACTGATCTTATGCCAGCTACTCTTCTTATTCTTACTGTCCTCCACAGGTGCTCATAGGCACTATGTATAGTTGAAATCTCCTATGGTGTGATTTTACCTTATGGGCCTTATTCCTTGTCCCTATGCTTTCTTTCCTTTGTATTTTAATACTTGGCAGCTTAGGAATTTTACTTGTGCCATCTTCCCCTCTTTGTGTGTTCTAGATGAAATGTACATCTGTGATTATTTGTGTCACTGTAGGTTTTAATATTTCGCTCTCTACCTTAATATATTGTGTTAATATACCTAATTGGCTGCTGTAAATGGTTATTTTCTGAATTATACATTTGTTAGGCCAATTTGAATACGATCATTATGCTAAATATTGTGAGCTTCTTCTAATTCTAAATTCTTCTAATTCTATAGATCTTTGCCACTGATTTCATAAACATTATGTGTCCATTTGTGTGATCACAAGGCTTCACCATCTGTGACAGCCTGTAAATACATATGGCCTGTTGCTCAATTACAGACTGAGTGCGAGTACCACAGCAATGATTTCTGCATGTCATGCAGACAGTGAGGTACCTTACTCCATGAGGCATGTGTCGTCCTGAGATTTGGGGCATGCTGCTATCCTTGGGCCAAGGGGGCTAACCCGTCTCAACCAGGGATTAGGGAGGTTATTTGACCAGGCAGGACCCCATTTCCCAGTTTAGGGGTGGATATGTTCTGCTCTCAGAATGAATTCTGGCAAGTCTCACTCCCGGCTGTTACAGCTCAATCAGCCATGATGCCGGATCTTTGACCAGGCAGGACCCCATTTCCCAGTTTTGGGGTGGATATGTTCTGCCCTTGAAACAATTTCCGGCAAGTCTCTCTCCATCTTGTGTATCTTCTCCTCTATGAGGAGCCCTGGCTGGCCCTTTCAAGCTAGCATCCCATCTTTGTGTCTACCATTTCCAGGCAGACACTTCTTTGTCAGTATATGAGCTTGAACTCACACTTGGCATTGTACCACTTGAGTCATGCCTTCCCTTTTGACATTCTGCTGATAAATTGGAGATAAGAGTCTCTGGGATTTGTCTGCCCATGTTGGCTTCAAACCAAGATTTTCAGATCTCAGCCTCTTCAGTAGCTAGGATTACAAGCATGAGCCACCAGTGCCCAGCTTTTTATCTAACCGGGTTTTGATCAATCTGGATACCAGCGAACTCTTCAGGACACAGCTCTATGTACTGGAACAAAGGTACCATACATCATATGGTAATAAGTCTCTCGCTCGTTTTTATCTTGATCAGCCATGGGGTTTCATCTCAGGGCCTGGGCACTGTCCTTGAGCATTTTCACTCCTTAAAACAGAACTGTTTTTTGGCGCCTCAGTTGTGAATACTCTCCACCTTCCATAATGAAGAGACAAGACACCAAAGACAAATAGACAGCATATTTCGGTCTCTAGTAGCTCCTATGTGCATCCTGGCTTGGTTCACAGGCCCTCTCTGTATCACCAGCCATAGGTCAAAAGATTTCTTTGAAATATTTGGGAGAGCTGAGGAGGTTTTGGGAGCACAGGATGCAAATAACAAGAAAGAACACTCAAAACTTGGGGACCGTAAAACAATTGTCTTAAGGTCCCCAAGTTTTGAGTGCCCTACACCTTCCCCAAAGGAGAGAAAAGCCGCTAAATAGAAATAGACTACATTTTTCTCACCCAGTCAACTCTAGTCTGCATCCATCAGGGCTTAATGCCCCTCACACTGTCCAAAGAGCCCAGTCTAATTTGTTTCGTCCAATTCTGGGAGAGCTGATCTGTGTTAGTCATCTCAGGATGCAAACGACATGATAGAGCACTCTGAAATTGGTGACCTTAAAACAGTTTTAAGGTCCCGAAGTGAGCATGCTCTACTCCTTCCCCAATGGAGAGACAAGCCTCCAAAGATATATGGACAGCACCGACCTTTCTCAATAAGCCCTAATCTACATCCTGTTCCATATACTGTCAACAGTAACAGGTCCAATTATATTCCTTGCAATTCTGGGAGAGCTGAAAAGTGTTTGGAAGCACAGGATGCAAACGACAAGATAGAGCAACACAGAAATTCGACGCCTTAAGAAAATGTTTTTCAGGGCTCAAATTCTCAATGATCTACATCTCCCCCAAAGGAGAGATAAGCCTCTAAATACAAGTAGACCGCATCTTTCTAACCCAGGTTTCTCCGGTCTGCATCCTAGCTTGGCTGAAAGCCACTTATACTGTCCATCCACAGGAACCAGTCCAATTTTGTCTTCCAATTCTGGGAGAGCTGACCAGTGTTAGCGAGTTCAGCATGCAAACGAAAGTTTGAGTAAAGCAGAGAAAGTCAGATAAGGTGATGTTAATGAAATGAACCCTAAGATATGTATTCGAAAGTGTTTTATTTGCTTTCAAGCGATTGTTTATGACACATTCATAAGATCATTTCTTTTTTACTTTGTAAGGCCCTCCCCATTGTATAACAACTGCTTTCACTGTATTTCATGTCGGTATAATTTGTGGAGGGAAAGGGGAAAAACAATTCGTTTAAATAGGGATAGAGGTGGACCCATAGCAAAAATGCGATGTACAAGTCGTTACGTCCAAAACGAACTTTACAACTTTGGTTTGTGAGTGGTGCGGGGTGTGGGAGAGGGGAGGACTGTGGGGGAGGGCAGGAGGAGGCTGGGAAAAGATGGGAATGGGAAACAAAGAGGACGTTACAATACTTTATAAAAAATGTACTCATTATCTTGCACATGTAATTGTAACCCCTCTGTACATTGTTTGCAAAAAAATAAATGAACAAATAAATAAATAAATAAATTTAAAAGCAAGAAAAGATGGAGCACTCAGAACATGGGGACCTTGAAACCGTTTTAAGGCCCCCAAGCAATGAGGGTTTACTCCTTCCCCAAAGCAGGGACACGCCTCCATAGAGAAATTGACAGCACTAATCTTCCCAAGAAGCTCTGGTCTGCATTCTAGCAAGACAGAAAGTGTCTCATCCTGTCTACAATCACAGGTTCCGTTTTTCTCCTTACCACTGGGAGGGTTGAAAAGTTTTTGAGATCTCAGTTTGTAAACGACAAGATAGAGCACTCAGACCTTCGGTGAGGTAAACAATATTGCCCAAGTTCTGAAGGTTCTACAATTCCTCAAAGGAGATACAAGCCACTAAAGAGAAATAGACAGCATGGTTCTATCACAGGCAACAGCGGTCTGCATCCTAGCAGGGCTTGAAGCCCCTTACACTGTCCATAGTAACAAGTCCAAATTTTTTCCTTGCAATTCAGGGTGGGCTGACCAGTGTTAGGATGCTCAGGATGAAAACGACAAGATAGAGCACTGAGAATGTGGGGAACTTAAAACAAAATTGTTTGATGGTTGCCAAGGTTCTGAATGCTCTTTACCTTCGAAAAAGAAAAGACCAGCCCCCGAAGAGAAATAGACAACATCATTCGGTTTCTAGCAGCCCCTGTGTGCATCCTGGCATGGTTCAAAGCCCCTCTTGGTGTCACCATCCCCTGGACAATCCTTTTTACTTGCAATTTTGAGAGAGCTGTGGAGGGTTTGGGAGCACAGGATGCAAACAACAAGACAGAGTTCTCAGAATTTGGAGAACATAAAGAAAATTGTTTTAAGGTCTCCAAGTTCTGAGTGCTCTCAACTTTTCCCAAAAGCAAGACAAGCCACTTAGGAGAAATAGAAAGCATTGTTCTGTCCCAGTCAACTGTGCTCTGAATCTTAGCAGGGCTTAATGACCCTTGCACTATCCACAGTAAACAGTCCAAACTTTGTTCTTCCAATTCTGGGAGAAGTGACCAGCGTTAGGGAGCGCAGGTACAAACGATAAGATAGAGTACTCAGAATATGGGGACCCTAGAACAGTCTTAAGGCCCCCAGGGAAGGAGGGCTCTACACCATCCCCAAGGAAGAGACACCCCTCCAAAGAGAAATTCACAGCACCCATCTTTCCCAAGAAGCTCTGCTCTGCATCCTAGCAATATTGAAAGTGCCTCATTCTGTCTACAATAACAGGTGAAAGTTTTTTTCCTTTTAATTCTGAGAGAGGTCAAAAGCGTTTAGGAACTCAGGATGCAAAGAATAAGATAGAGCCGGGCACTGGTGGCTCACGCCTGTAATCCTATCTACTCCGGAGCCTGAGATCTGAGGTACTCGGTTGCAAGCCAGCCCGGGTAGGAGAGAAGGTGAGACACCTATCTCTAATAAACCACCAGAAAACCGGAAGTGGCGCTGTAGCTCAAGAGGTAGAGCGTTTTCCTAACATCACATTATCTGACCTTTTCCGCTTGACTCATACATATACTAGATATTGCATATAAGGGAAACCATGGGACCTATGTTTCTTTGGGCCTGGCTTACTTCACTTAATATAATTTTTTCCAAGCCTTTCCATTTCCTACCAAATGGGGAAATGTCATTCTTTCTGATGGAGGCATAGAATTCCATTGTGTATATATACCACATTTTCTTGATCCATTCATCTACTGAGGGGCATCTGGGTTGGTTTTATATCTTAGCTATGGTAAATAATGCTGCAATAAATATAGTTGTGCTGGTAGCTTTAGTGTGGTCTTGTTTGTAAACATTTGGGTAAATGCGCAAAAGTGGGATTGCTGGGTCATAGGGAATTTCTATGTGTAGTCTTTTAAGGAACCTCCATAATGCTTTCCAAAGTGGTTGAACAAGTTTACATTCCCACCAACAATGAAGTAAGGTTCCTTTCTGTCCACATCCCCTCCAGCATCTGTTGTTGTTAGAGTACTTGATTTTTGCCATTCTAACTGGAGTGAGGTGATATCTCAATGTTGTTTTGATTTGCATTTCTTTTATGGCTAGGGATGTTGAACATTTTTTCATGTGTCTATTGGCCATCCTTCTTTCTTCTTCAGAGAAGTTTCTCTTTAAGTCTTTCGCCCAATTATTTATTGGGCAGTTGTTTCTTTGAGGATTTGTTGTTGGGGGGTTTAATTTTTTGAGTTCCAAGTATATTTTAGATATGAGACCTTTGTCCGTTGTATGGCTAGTAAAGATCTTCTCCCAATCCGTGGGCTTTCTATTGATCTTGCTAGCTATGTCATTTGCCCTGCAGAAGCTCTGCAACTTTATGCAATCCCATTTGTCCAACCTTTCTTTGATTTGTTGTGTTTCCGGGTCTCTATTCAGAAAATTTCGTCCTGAGCCAAGGAGACCTAGGGTTTCTCCTATTCCATCCTGTAATGTTTTCAGAGTGTCTGTTTTGAGTTCAAGGTCTTTGATCCATTTGGAGTTGATTCTGGTGCAGGGTGATATATAAGGATCTAGCTTTAGTTTTCTACTTTGTATGTCCCTCCCCCACAGTGTAACCCCCGCTTTCACTATATTTGATGTCAGTATAACTTGTGGAGGAGATGGGGACAAACAAGTCGTTTAAGGATTCAGGTGGACCTGTTGCAACAATGAGAAGTACAAAATGTCATGTCAAAAATGAGCTTTACAATGTCGGTGTGTGGGGGGAGGGGGGGAAGGATTGGGTGGGGGGGAGGGGGGAGGCTGGGAAGGGAGGTGAAGGGTAAACAAAGGAGGAGGCTGCAATGCTTGGTAAGAAATGTATGCATTATCCTGTCCATGTAATTGTAACCCATCTGTACAGTATGTTCTCAAATAAAATAATATAAAATTTAAAAAAAAAAAGAGGTAGAGCGCTCGCCTTGAATTGAAGAGCTGAGGGACAATGCCCAGGCCCACAGTTCAAGCCCCACGACCTACAAAAAAAAAAAATAACCATATAGAGCACTCAGAACCTCGGCGATTTAAAACATTATTGTTTGACGGTGACCAGGTTCTAAATGCTCTACACATTCCCCAACGGAAAGACAGGGCAGTAAGGAGAGTTAGACAGCATCGGTCTATCCCAGGCATCTTCGGTCTGCATCCTAGCAGGGCTTAAACCTCCTGACACTGTCGCCATTAACCAGTCCCAATTTTTTCCTTGCAATTCTGGGATTGCTGAGCAGTGTTAGGGAGCTCAGGATGAAAACGACAAGATAGAGCCCTGAGAACTTGGGTACCTTAAAACAGAACTGTTTTTTGGCTCCTCAGTTGTGAATACTCTCCACCTTCCATAATGAAGGGACAAGACACCAAAGACAAATAGACAGCATATTTCGGTCTCTAGTAGCTCCTATGTGCATCCTGGCTTGGTTCACAGGCCCTCTCTGTATCACCAGCCATAGGTCAAAAGATTTCTTTGAAATATTTGGGAGAGCTGAGGAGGTTTTGGGAGCACAGGATGCAAATAACAAGAAAGAGCATTCAAAATTTGGGGACCGTAAAACAATTGTTTTACGGTCCCCAAGTTTTGAGTGCTCTACACCTTCCCCAAAGGAGAGAAAAGCCGCTAAATAGAAATAGACCGCATTTTTTTCGCCCAGTCAACTCTGGTCTGCATCCATCAGGGCTTAATGCCCCTCACACAGTCCACAGAGCCCAGTCCAATTTGTTTCATCCAATTCTGGGAGAGCTGATCTGTGTTAGTCAGCTCAGGAGCAAACGACATGATAGAGCACTCTGAAATTGGTGACCTTAAAACAGTTTTAAGGTCCCAAAGTGAGGATACTCTACTCCTTCCCCAATGGAGAGACAAGCCTCCAAAGATATATGGACAGCACCGACCTTTCTCAATAAGCCCTAATCTACATCCTGTTCCATATACTGTCAACAGTAACAGGTCCAATTATATTCCTTGCAATTCTGGGAGAGCTGAAAAGTGTTTGGAAGCACAGGATGCAAACGACAAGATAGAGCAACACAGAAATTCGACGCCTTAAGAAAAATTGTTTTTCAGAGCTCAAATTCTCAATGATCTACATCTTTCCCAAAGGAGAGATAAGCCTCTAAATACAAGTAGACCACATCTTTCTAACCCGGGTTTCTCTGGTCTGCATCCTAGCTTGGCTGAAAGCCACTTATACTGTCCATCCACAGGAATCAGTCCAATTTTATCTTCCAATTCTGGGAGAGCTGACCAGTGTTAGCGAGTTCAGCATGCAAACGAAAGTTTAAGTAAAGCAGAGAAAGTCAGATATGGTGATGTTAATGAAATGAACCCTAAGATATGTATTCGAAAGTGTTTTATTTGCTTTCAAGCGATTGTTTATGACACATTCATAAGATCATTTCTTTTTTACTTTGTAAGGCCCTCCCTCATTGTATAACAACTGCTTTCACTGTATTTCATGTCGGTATAATTTGTGGAGGGAAAGGGGAAAAACAATTCGTTTAAATAGGGATAGAGGTGGACCCATAGCAAAAATGCGATGTACAAGTCGTTATGTCCAAAACGAACTTTACAACTTTGGTTTGTGAGTGGTGCGGGGTGTGGGAGAGGGGAGGACTGTGGGGGAGGGCAGGAGGAGGCTGGGAAAAGATGGGAATGGGAAACAAAGAGGACGTTACAATACTTTATAAAAAATGTACTCATTATCTTGCACATGTAATTGTAACCCCTCTGTACATTGTTTGCAAAAAAAATAAATGAACAAATAAATAAATAAATAAATTTAAAAACAAGAAAAGATGGAGCACTCAGAACATGGGGACCTTGAAACCGTTTTAAGGCCCCCAAGCAATGAGGGTTTACTCCTTCCCCAAAGCAGGGACACGCCTCCATAGAGAAATTGACAGCACCAATCTTCCCAAGAAGCTCTGGTCTGCATTCTAGCAAGACAGAAAGTGTCTCATCCTGTCTACAATCACAGGTTCCATTTTTCTCCTTACCATTGGGAGGGTTGAAAAGTTTTTGAGATCTCAGGTTGTAAACGACAAGTTATTGCAACATAGGAGCGTTTCACTGCTTTTAAGGCTTCTTGGGAAGAATTCCAGAATATTGCTGCCAGCAGGCCTCCAGGTGTTCTGGGTGAACATCTCCTTGTAAATCCTCCGTGGTTTCTTCTACACCCATGAAGTTTGGCAAGGGTACGCAGTTTCCATTGCTGCACAACTGCGCCTGCAGAGCTCTGCTTGGTTGCAAACCTTCAGATGTGGCAGCCAGATATGCTTGTCCCCGTAGGACACTGCTAGCTGACTGGGTGTACCTGCTTCCCGTTCTTCTTACCTGAGTGCTACCTATTCCAGCTTTCACGGCTACACTATACTCAACCTGAGGAGTAGGTTGAACCTGTACTTATGGCACTCTGTGAAAGTTTGGAGAACCAGACCTCAGTTGTTTGGCACACGACCACTGTCCATCCAGCACTATGGACGGCACTGGCTATATCTGGCTCTAATAAGTCCACGGTCGTGTTCTGCCAAATGACTTCTGCCGGGAACACTCAGCATGAGGTTCTGAGTTATTGCAACAGAGGAGTGTTTCACTGCTTTCAAGGCTTCTTAGGAAGAATTCCAGAATCTTGCTGCCGGCAGGCCTCCGTGTTTTCCGGGTGAACATCTCCTTGTAAATTCTCCGTGGTTTCTTCTACACCCGTGAAATTTGGCAAGGGTACACAGTTTGCATTGCTGCACAATTGTGCCTGCAGAGCTTTGCCACGGTTGCAAACATTCAGACCTCGCAGCCAGATATGCTTGTCCCCGGAGGACAGTGCCAGCTGACTGGGTATATCTGCTTCCCGTTCTTCTTACCTGAGTGCTACTGATTCCAGCTTTCACGGCTATACTCTACTTACCCTGAGGAGTAAGTTGGACCTCTACTTATGGCACTCTGTGAAAGTTTGGAGAACCAGACATCAGTTGTTTGGCACGCGACCACTATCCATCCAGGACTATGGACGGTACTTGCTATATCTGGCTCTAATTAGTCCATGGTTGTGGCCAGCCGAATGACCTCTGCCGGGAACAGTCAGAATGATGTTCTGAGCTATTGCAACATAGGAGCGTTTCATTGCTTTCAAGGCCTCCCGGCAGCAAGATTCTGGAATTCTTCCTAAGGAGCCTTGAAAGCAGTGAAACGCTCCTATGTGGCAATAACTCAGAACCTCATTCTGAGTGTTCCCGGCAGAGGTCATTCGACAGAACACAACCGTGGACTAATTAGAGCCAGATATAGCCAGTGCCGTCCATAGTGCTGGATGGACAGTGGTCACATGCGAAACAACTGAGGTCTGGATATCCAAACTTTAACAGAGTGCCATCAGTATAGGTTCAACTTACTCCTCAGGTTGAGTAGAGTGTAGCCATGAAGCTGGAATCAGTAGCACTCAGGTAAGAAGAACGGGAAGCAGATATACCCAGTCAGCTGGCAGTGTCCTCCGGGGACAAGCATATCTGGCTGCGAGGTCTGAATGTTTGCAACTGCGGCACAGCTCTGCAGGCACAATTGTGCAGCAATGCAAACTTCATACCCTTGCCAACTTTCACGGGTGTAGAAGAAACCACGGAGGATTTACAATGAGATGTTCACCGGGAACACCCAGAGCCTTACGGCAGCAAGATTCTGGAATTCTTCCTAAGAAGCCTTGAAAGCAGTGAAACGATCCTATGTTGCAATAACTCAGAACCTCATTCTGAGTGTTCCCAGCAGAGGTCATTCGGCTGAAACACAACCGTGGACTAATTAGAGCCAGATACAGCCAGTGCCATCCACACTACTTGATGGACAGTGGTCGCGTGCAAAACAACTGAGTTCTGGTTCTCCATACTTTCCCAGAGTGCCTTAAGTAGAGGTTCAACTTACTCCTCAGGTTGAGTAGAGTGTAGCCGTGAAAGCTGGTATCAGTAGCACTGAGATGAGAAGAACGGGAAGCAGATATACCCAGGCAGCTGGCAGTGTTGTTCAGGGACAAGCATATCTGGCTGCCACGTCTGAATGTTTGCAACCGCGGCAGAGCTCTGCAGGCGCAATTGTGCAGCAATGAAAACTGTGTACCCTTGCCAAACTTCACGGGTGTAGAAGAAACCACGGAGGATTTACAAGGAGATGTTCACCCAGAACACCCAGAGGCCTGCCAGCAGCAATATTCTGGAATTCTTCCTAAGAAGCCTTGAAAGCAGTGAAACGCTCCTATGTTGCAAAAACTCAGAACCTCATTCTGAGTGTTCCCAGCAGAGGTCATTCGGCTGAACACAACCATGGACTAATTAGAGCCAGATATATCCAGTGCCGTCCATAGTGCTGGATGGACAGTGGTCGCGTATCAAACAACTGAGTTCTGGTTCTCCAAACTTTCACAGAGTGCCATAAGTAGAGGTCCAACTTAGTCCTCAGCTTGAGTAGAGTGTAGCTGTGAAAGCTGGAATCAGTAGCACTCTGGTAAGAAGAACGGGAAGCAGATATACCCAGTCAGCTGGCGGTTCCAGGCAGCCCTGCCTTGGAGAGGGCTCTTTGAGGCTAGCCCCCATCGGTCCAGGCAGCACTGGCTTGCACAAGGCTCGAAAGGCTGTCCCCCAGCTGGTCTAGGCAGCCCTGATTTGGACACGGCTCTGTGAGCCGGCCTGCGCTGGTAAAGGTAGTGCTGGCTTGCACAGGGCTCTGTGAGGTTGGTGCAGTCTGGTCCAGTTTAAGGTGTCACAGACCGGGCTTTGTAAGGCTGACCAGGGCCAGTCAAGGAACAGCTGGCTTGGGGAAGTCTCTGTGAGGTTGGCCCAGGCCAGTCTAGAAGGAGCTGGCTTGGAAAGGGCTCTGTGAGGCTGGCCCAGGCCAGTGTAGGCGTGGCTGGATTCGACAGGAATTTGAGAGCCTGTCCCACAGAGGCCCAGGCAGTACTGTCATGAACAGTGCTCTGTGAGCCTGGCCCAGGTTGGTCCAGATGGTGCTGACTTGGACAGGGCAGTGTGAGGCTGTCCCAGGCCAGTCCAGGTGGCCCAGTCAAGTACAGGGCTAGTGCAGCTCACCCCAAGCTGGTCCAGGAGTAGCTGGATTCGACAGGGCTCTGTGAGGCTGGCCTGGACAAGTCGAGGAGCAGCTGGCTTGGACAAGACTCTATGAGGCTGGCCCGGCCCAGTCTAGGAGGAGCTGGCTTGGACTGGGCTCTTTGAGGCTGGCCCCCATCGGTCCAGTCGGCGCTGGCTTAGACATGGCTCAAAAGATTCTCCCCATGCTGGTCCAAGTAGTGCTGGCTTAGACAGGCCTCTGTGAGTCTGGTTCAGTATGGCTCAGTTGACGCTGGCTTAGACAGGGGTCTGTGAACCTGCCCCGGACCGGTCAAGGTGCAGCTGGCTTGGACAAGACTCTGAGGCTGGCCCAGTCCCGTCTAGAGGAGCTATCTTGGACAGGGCTCTTTGAGGCTGGCCCCCATTGGTCCAGGACGTGCTGGCTTGAACAGGCTCGAAAGGCAGTCCCCAGGCTTGTCCAGGGGGCCCTGCCTTGGACAGGACTCTGTGAGCTTGGCCCGTGCCAGTCCAGGAGGACTAGACTTAGACAGGGTTCTGTGAGACTGGCTGGCACGGGTCCAGGCAGCCCTGGCTTGGTCAGGGCACTGTGAGGCTGGTGCAGTCTGGTCCAGTTGACACTGGCTTGGATAGGGCTCTGTGAGCCTGGCCAGGCCGGTCAAGGAGCAGCTGGCTTGGACAAGACTCTGTAAGGTTGACCCGGGCTAGTCCAGGAGGAGCTGGAATAGACAGGGTTCTGTGATGCTGGACCGGGCCGGTCCAGGTGGCCCTGTCTCTCACAGGGCTTGTGCAGCTGGACCGAAGCTGGTCCAAGAGGAGCTCTCTGTGCGTCTGGCCTGGTCAGGTCGAGGAGCAGCTGGCTTGTACAAGACTATGTGAGGCTGTCCCGGCCCAGTCTAGGAGGAGCTGGCTTGGACTGGGCTCTTTGAGGCTGGCCCCCATCGGTCCAGGTGGCATTGGCTTGGACATGGCTGGAAAGACTGTCCCAATGCTGGTCCAGGTAGTGCTGGCTTAGACAGGGCTCTGAGTCTGGTGCAGTCTGGCTCAGTTAACACTGGCTTGAACAGGGTTCTTTGAGGCTGGCCCTCCTCAGTCCAGGCACTGCTATTTGGACAGGGCTGGAAAAGCTGTCCCCATGGTAGTCCAGGTGGCGCTGGCTTTGACAGTGCCCTGTGAGCCTGGCCCAGGAGAGTCAAGGAACAGCTGGCTTGGACAAGACTCTGTGAGGTTGGCCTAGCCCAGTCTAGGAGAAGCTGGATTACACAGGGTTCTGTGAGCCTGGCCTGGCCCAGTCCAGGAAGAGCTGTGTTGCACAAGGCTCTGTGAGGTTGGCCCGGGCCAGTCTGGTAGAAGCTAGCTGGCTTGAACAGGGCTCTGTGAGGCTGGCCCAGGCCGATGCAGGTGTAGCTGGCTTGGAAAGGACTTTGAGATCCTGTCCCCCGCTGGTCCAGGTAGTACTGCCATAGATACGGCTCTGTGAGCCTGGCCCGTGACGGTTCAGGCTTCGCTGGTTTGGGCAGGGCTCTGTGAGACTGGCCTGGGCCTATCCAGGCGGCGCTGGCTTGGACAGGACTCTCTGAGCCTAGCCTTGGCCACTTCAGACGGAGCTTGCTTGGACAATGATTCTGTGAGGCTGGTCCAGTTGTGTCCAGGGCAGCTGACTTGGACAAGACTCTGTGACGCTGGCCTGGCCCAGTCTAGGAGGAGCTGGCTTGGAAGTGGCTCATTAGGCTGTCCCCGGGCTGGTCCAGGCGACCCTGGCTTTGACAGAGCTCTGTGTGCCTGGCCCGCACCGGTCCCAGTGGTGCTGTCTTGGACAGGGTTCTGTAAACCTGACCAGCGCCGATCCAAGTGGTGTTGGATTGGACAGGGCCCTGTGAGTCTGGTGCAGGCTGGTCCAGTCCAGGTGGCTCTGGATTGGACAAGGCTCCGTGAGGCAAGCCCAGTCATGTCGAGGTGCAGCTGGCTTGGACAAGACTCTGTGAGGCTGGCCCCGGCCCAGTCTAGGAGGAGTTGTCTTGGACAGGGCTCGTTGAGGCTG